GTAACCTTAGGACAAAAGCATTCATTAAAGGTTAGGGTAAGTAGTCGCTGTGTTTCTCCCCAAAAATTAATTTTTAAAAAATCGGTATTTGAAAATTGGTAATCTGATTGTAAATTTTCTGATCTGTCCATTTGTTATTGACTTTGGTTTAGTTCATAGGCTTTGCAGACGGATGAGTTGTATGTGAATCTGCTTTTTAACTGTGAATTTGAAAAGTTACTTATTCTTAATAAGCTTCAGTTATCACTTTTATGATATGAGCATTATTTTAGTACCTCTTAGGTTTTTAAAAATTTAAAGATTTTTATTTATTTATTTATTTAGATGAGGTCTTGCTATGTTGCCCAGGCTGGTCTCAAACTTAAGGGCTGACACAATCCTTTTGCATCAGCCTCCTGAGGTGCTGGAATTACAGGCACATGCCATGCATGTAGCTCTAATAGATTTTTAAAATGAAGTTCAAACAAGATAATGCATGTGAAGTATTTTGTATGTTTGTGGCACATGATAATCCCACTCTGAATTCTAGTTGCCATTAATGTTTTTATTATTATAAATTACTACTGAGTTCCCAATTATATTTAACCTTTTTCTAAGTTCTTGGGTCCCAGGGGGATGAAGAGGTGGGCTAAAGAAGAAAATAGGAAGCACTAGCTCTTAGGATTTGTCTGTACTCTTCCTAGGTAATCTTCTATCACTCTTCCCCCAACCATGCTGATTTACTTACTTTTTTGGAATATACTGTGCACTTACTTGCTTCTTGGCTTTTCCTCCTATGCCCTTACATCTTGTCTATAACAGCAGTCCTACCCATTATTCAAAGCTCTGTTTAGATGTTTTCCCTTCAGGAAGTTTTCTCTGGTCTCTCTAAAACTGAAAGAAATTAATTTTTCCTTCCTTTTTTAGTATGTGTGCCTTCTATGATGGCTTCATGTATATGTGTCTGTGCCCTTTACTAGCTTGTGTATCTTGTGTATCTTGGAAAGGTAGGGACATTTATTTATTGTTGAGCTCCAGCATAAGGTCTTACACAAGGTAAATATTTTGATGTTGATTTGAATTGTCTTGTACCAACTTGTATTAAGAAACTCTCAGCAGGAAACTTAAGCAGTTTGCCTTTAGTCTTTTCCTCTATGTCATGATACAAGAGTGTTGGATTTTACTAGATAATCTCTAAGGCTATTTGCAATTCTGAAATTATTACATAATTTTGTGAATCCTTACTTTGGATTTTCTAGTGGGGAAAATGACCATAAGAAAACTAAGTAGAAAGGTACAAATAATGTTCCTGATAACCATATAAAATCTTAGCATATAATCTGATTCAGTGATTAGAAACTTTTTTTTTCCTTTTTTTTGGAGACAGGGTCTTGCTGTGTGCCCAGGCTGAATGAAGTGCAGTGCTGTGATCATAGCTCACTGCAGCCTCAAGCTCCTGGGCTCCCATCTCAGCTTCCTGAGTAGCTAGAACTACAGGTGCATGCCACCACACCTGGCTAATTTTTTAGGGTCTTGCTGTAGCTCATGCTTGATCTCTAACTCCTGGGCTCAAGTGATCCTCCTGCCTTGGCCTCCCAAAGGTAGGGATTACAGGCATGAGGTGCCTGGCCAGTGATTGGAAACTTAATTGCATATAGGCCCCAGACTAGAAATAAAAAAACTAAGGAAAGTTGTCTATGTAAAATGAGAGAGTAGGAGAGCCTGTGGCAGTAAGTAGAGTGTATTCCTTATCTAAAAACATTGAATTAGGTTAAGAAAAGTGCTGCTGACCAAATAAAATGTTTCTGCAGGATATATATATATATACTTTTCAAAAAAAATTTTTTTTTTTTTTTTTTTTTAAAGACAACGTCTTGCTGTGTCACCCAGGCTGGAGTGTGGTGTCGTGATCATAGCTCACTGCAGCCTCAATTCAAGCCATCTTCCCACCTCAGCCTCCCAAGTAGCTGGGATCACAGGCGTGCACCACTACACCTGTTTTTTTTGAGTTTTAGTGGAGACGAAGTCCTGTTTTATTGCCTGGCTGGTCTGAAACTCCTGGGCTCAAATTATCTCCCACCTCATTCTCCCAAAGTGCTGGGATTACTCTGTAGGCTCTATTTGTTAGCTGACTTGACAGTTTTCAGTTTTTGAATTCCAAGCCTCCTATTTTACTGATGCATATATTTGAGAAGTTTTGTGACTTACTGAAGGTTACACAGTTAAATGTCAAAGTGAGGATCTAAACAAAATATTTTCTGGGACTACAGGTGCGTGCTGCCACACCTGGCTAAGTTTTGTATTTTTAGTAGAAATGGGGTTTTACCATGTTGGCTAAGCTGGTCTCAAACTCCCGGACTCAAATGGTCCACCCCCTCGGGCTCCCAAAGTGCTGGGATTACAGGCGTGAGCCACCGCGCCGAGTCAAAAAAAAATTTATTTAAGAGACAGAGTCTCACTATGTTGTACAGGCTGGTCTCAAACTCTTGGGCTCAAGTGATCTTCCCACCTCAGGCTCCCGAGTCTCTGAGATTACAGGTGTGA